ATGTTTTGACTGATAATTTAAGTTCATACTTGAGCTCTTACAGCAGCATTTCAGGCTTGTTGTTTCAGCTTTATATTTATTTTCTATGAATACTCTTACTGTTTTTTTATTTCTAATTAGAATGCTGCATGTATTCTGCATACATGCCACAGTGATGGAATTTGTGATATGTAAAGAAATATAGTACTAATCTTTTATTTCTTAGAAAATTTATTGTCTTTCTTATCCTCTATTCAATATGATCACAATTATCATTAGCACATGTACCTCAAGTCCCAGCTGTTGCACCAGCTGGATTCTCTTCTCTCTACCTCTTATTTTGGCATCTGCCAATCTTCTGTTGAAATTTGCGTTCCCTCCATCTTCATCTTCATCCTCATCTTCATCTCCGGCGTCATTAATCTGATCAACATCAACATAATCCTCTAACAGAATTGTGGGGTCATTCAAATCCTGTAAAGAAACAAGGTTCATTAAGGTTCCCTCCACTATAAATTATACTTGCATTATCAAGTTACTTTTTGAAAGGTCATCCTACCAGTAAGTAGCTTCTCTCCATTCAATATCATAAAGTTGTGCAAAACAAAGCATGCAGTTATATGATCCACTGCTATCTCAACATTGGCTGATTCTAGATGTTTCATTCTCCGCCATTGGCCAAATGATTTGCCAAAGGCATGCTCGATGCGCACCCTTGACTTGCAGAGTGAATGATTGTATGCCCGCTCTTCTGCAGTTAAATTTCCCAAATTTTTAAAAGGGACCATCACCTAAAATATTTACCAAACATTATCATAGAGAAACAATGGTTAACAAATCACTTCTACACACACACCAAAAAAAAAAAATAGTACTCACACTGTCCATTAGAGCATAGGCTTTGTCTCCAAGTATGTGTTGATCATATTGCAATAATTCATCATTATCATCTTCTAGCAGCTTCCTGAAGAGAGGGCTGCGCCTGAATACTCTAGAGTCATGCAGGCTTCCTACTTCCCCTACATGCAAGTCTCTAATCAGAAGATTGTGATCGCACACAGCCATTGTATTAAAGCTGTAGGTTTTGTATCTGTTTCTATATCTCTCTGCCTGCTGACTTGGTGCAGTAATTACATTGTGAGTGCCATCGATGACACCCACAACACCAGGAAAACCAGAATACGCTTCAAATACGCTACTAATGTGTTCTCTCTCTTGAGCATCTGGCCACTTGATGTAGATGGGAGCCATCTCCCTGAGACATTCAATTATAATGGAGTAGTTTTCGTGGACAGAACCAGGTAAGACTCCAAAATGCAACGCCACACTTCTGAAGGTATCAGGATTGGCTAAGATCCGTAGTGTCATCAATAGGGGCACATCAAGACGGTTCCTTACTCGAATTATTCTTCCTGTGTCCATCATGTAATTAGCCAGAGTCTCCAAAAGCACCTAAAGGACATTGACTGTATTAATAAACTATCAAAACTCCCACAAACCACTAAAACAATAATAAGTAGTACTTACCTCAAAAGTTGCTTTCGACAATCTGTAATGCCGTTGAAAAGAAGGATCACCCATGTTTCTCATTCCATCGATGTCAACCTCTATCTTCTCCCAGTAAACTACATCATCTTCTTCTGTAAATTGCAAATTTTTATTATTACATTGCATTATTTACTCCATAGCACCACATTGTGCATCATCACTAACCTAGTAATTCATCGCCGTCTTCAAGCGCGCCCATGATTCTAGCACCCATTCTGCCTATTATCTCCGCTGCCACCATCTCTGCTTCCTCCGCTTCAATTAATGCTTGCCGTAGAAACCATATAGCATGTCTAATCACTAATTGCTCCTCCTCCTCGTTGTCCATTTTCGCGAGATACGATTCTTGTAACAGTAATAACAAGTTTTCCAAACAAACACGACAGACGACACGACGACGACGACGACGACGACGTTTTCAAACCAATACCCCGCCGTGTGTCGAACACGGCGTATTGCCGACGGTGATTTTTACTCGTTCTTTACCACCACCTGCACCAAATCAGTGGTAGAAGAACGAGTATTGATCTCAGTGCGATGTCACGCGTAACGCTATTCATGCTCGGAGTACAGAATATGTACACTTATGATACTTGTACCATTCGAAACTGGGAATGTTGTAGGCGTGACCAACAATGGACCTTTTTTCAAGTTTGACACTACTTTTTTGAGAACTCTTAACAAAATTCGCCGGTTTTCGTTCTAAGTCGATAGACCCGTGCCGCACAACGAATCTTCATCTTGGAACACGAAGCGCATACAGACATGACAATACTACCATTCGAAAGTTCGTTTGCTAGTATTACTGGAAGCAATGAAGATTGTTTTGGTCTAATAGCAAAATTTTGAGAACTCTTAACAGATTTCACAAGTTTTCAGTCTAAGTCCCGTCTGCCGATGTTGCTTCTGCTATTGTGCCGCCAACTGTAGATTCATATTCATTTTGGTTTTCACGGAACGCGCATCTTTTTGAAAGCGCCGACTTTAGCAACAATGCTCTTGTCTTGTGACCTGAAGGAAATACCGAGAATAGCGCCTGTTTTAGCCTTCTTTTTAATTTCGTCATCATCCAGTTTTATATGGTACATGTTTAATAATAATATATATTCTCAGAGAAACGTGACACATGTTGACAGAACAACACTCGTTGATTCTACAACCATATAGATGTAAAGCAACTGAGCACTGAAAGGGTCTCTGTAAAGAACGAGTACCAGTATTCACACAAAATTAATTTTGTGTTTTCTTTCCTCCTTGTTTTTTGTTAAAAACACTCATAAAATCGAAAATTATTTTGTCAGAGCGAATATATGGCCTTAAATTGGCATCTTCTAAGTGCTAATCTGCTAACTGCTAATCTGCTAACTGCTAACTGCTAATCGCTTAACCTGATACAGCCACTTATTCTTACTTTTAATACTAGCATTCAGAACACTTCTTAAAACTAAGAAAATCTTTTAAATTTAATAAACTTGTTATAAAATTTAATTACC